AAACCTAGAAGAGACACAGATGAAAGATTGTTCTGCATTATTCAAGAGAGATTCATTTCAGCTGGGGGGACAGGGGAAGCTTAGTGGCAATTAGGCTGAGCATATATTTTAACTATTAAGCAGCTAAGCATGTGATTAATAAAGGAAGGAGGATATTGGAGGCAGAGACACTTTTGAGGAGAGTCTTGCAGTACTGCTGGAGAAAATAAAAGCTTGAACTAAGATAGAGGTAGCAGGGAAAGGAAGAACTTCACAAGCAGAATGAGCAAAACAACATTGGATGGAGGAGAGTCAAGAGGTTACATAGTGAGGACAGGGATAAAAAGAGGTTGAAGACATGTTCTTTATCTCTTAGAGATTTACTGTAGTTGGAGAGGTAGGCCACATGCAGAACAGGGTAATGATACCAGCAAGGCTTTCTCTGGAACATGTGGCACCATTGTGCAAATTGGAAATGGCCCCCTCTGGGTAAACCAGTTGGATTGCAACCTGGATTTCAGCCCTTCTTCATGCAAGTCATCCTCAGCTGCACAATTATCCCTAAGGGTCCTGAACATGATTTTTCTTAGAGTATTAAATGGAGTTTCAAATGCTGACTTGATAAAGGAGGCAGAATTTTGATGCTTGAAGAAAGGATGGAATTTGAGTCATTTAAGAGGAGAGAAAAAGAGAGGAGAGGAGAGGAGAGGATAATACTGTACATGGAAAGAATATGAATTTTATTTTTTATTTTAATTTTTTAATAGGTTGAAAATTGAAAATAAATTACTTACAAACATAAATGAATATAACAATAAAAATTGTCCAAAATAAAAATGAAGAATTTACAGATCAGTCATAATAGTTCACTGTCAAAACCAAGAAACTTATATTTATATAATTAGAATTCTCAAAGTAAACAGGAGTAGACCATAAATATTTAAAGATTTAAAATTTCTGAATTTAGTTCAACTTATAATACCATATTTCCAAGAAAGATGAACATTTTGCACAAGAAATTTAAATAAAATCATACCAAGATACACAAAAATGAAATTGTCCAAAACTTATTGTAAAGAAAAAAATCATTAAAGCATATACATAAAAATATTAGCTATGGAAGAACAAAATTAAATAGCACCTTATTCCACATTAGAAAGAAAAAAAAAAGACTAAGTGTGTAAAAAATTAGACTAATTAAAGTACTGAAAGAAAAGATCTGTCCTCTTTGAATTTTATACATAGCAAACATATCTTTGAAAAATGAAAGTAAGATTTTCTAGTTATACAAACTTGAAATATTTTAATACCTCCAGAAGTAGCATAGGAAATAACAAAGAGCATAATTCAAAAGGCGAGAGAAGTTTCAGTATGCTCCGGGAAGAATATGTATTTTCTGAAGGCAGGGTTGTTCTTGGCCTTCTAGTGTGTATGCATGTAGGCACATTTATAGTTACATAAAGTAGAACTGTGGACTTCATTACTATGTGACCAAGTGTTATTATATATTGATGAAGCTACTGTGATTGGTATGCTCAGTGTAGTCAGGAGCTGTTTAGGGCTCAGGTAGTAGCTCTGCAGAAGAGTGTTTGCCTGGCTTATTTCAGGCCCAGGGTTCAGTTCCCAGCACTACAGAAAGAAAATGCATGAAATGTATACAGTAATAAATTATTAAGAAAGTTATCTACAGGGCCTTCCACTATTAATGTCAGGGTAGATGTATCAGTGCTACTTTAGGTTTTCTTTTTTATCTTTTTCCTTTTTTTATTTTTAGGGAAGAGTCTACAGGGTGTTCAGGGTCTGCATTTGGTACAGGGTTGCTACACTGCTTGGACTTGTGATCCTCCTGTTTATAGCTTCCCAAGAACTGGGATTACAGGCACGTGCCACCATGCTCAGTCTCAATTGCTGTCTCAGCATGCCCCAGGAGCAGGGCCAGCATGGCAGGCCTGGGGATCGAACCCCTGGCCCCTATGCCTGCTTGCAGGAACTGTAACCCACTGAGCTATTTGGCTAGCCCATATGTAAGTTTTGTTTTGTTTGGCCTGGTAAACCCACCCTGAGTGTGGGGCTGGCACAGCATATGGTGCCTGGGATCAAACCTTGGTCCCCTGCACCTGCCTAAGCTTGCCTAAGCAGGTGCTTTAGACTGCTGGGCTATCTCTCTAGCCCTGCTACTTTAGGTTTTCCACCTGTTGGATTCCAGGGGCTCTCTGCACATGCAGGTAAGGAAATAGATCAGATTGTTGCACACATGTCTAATAAATATTTATCTTTTGCCTTGTATATGAACTAGGTCTTCTATTGTTTGTTTTCATCAACACTCCATACTCAGCAATTGATGACCTCTTCTTTGTTTTTTTAATAGAGAATTCACCAAAACAATTAAGCGTCCATTTGGGGTGAAGTATAATCCATATACTCAGAGTATTCAGATCCTGAAAGATGCTAAAAGCATAACCAGTGTCATGAATGAGCTGCGGCATGATCTTGATGTCGTCAGTGATGCCCTCACTAAGGTCAGCAGGCAGCTGAGTATGTGACAGTCACCAGTCCTAATCCAGAAGGCATCTGAGCATCATTCAGAGCCTGTGGGCCAACTGTTACTTTTCCTGAAGACCTGATTCTGAAGGGACAGCAGCTTCTGTCTAAACAATATCATCTAATCTCACTCCTTAATGAATCACTGGTCTCTAAAAAGATGTAAAATGTGTACCTGGATACTCTATCCACCACTGTTTTAAATGTGATCTTTGTTTTTCAGTAACCTCTGTAGTAAACTATAATATATATACTGTAAAATTCACTTACCACCTTTTTTTGGAGGCCAGATTTTGCTTGCATTTGTAATCCTTCTCTGCCTCAGTCTCTAAAGTATCTGGGATTACAGGTACAGTCCATCAATCCCTACTGACTACTCATTTTTTATAGATAAGTTAATTGGCTCAATGAATACATCTAGTCTCAGTATCAGTCTATTTCCTCCATCCTTCTTAAGCAAATGACTGTTCCAGCCTCTTAAAGCTTGGTGAGTGTTGTGAATTGAGCCCATTTTGTTACCAGTGTTTGTGACTTACCACTGGATTTTTATCAAGAACAATCACATTCACATTCACTCACACACCTAAACCTAAGAAGAGATCAGCTGTTTGCTGCTCACATGAGCAAAGAGGTCTTATGGAGCATGCCTAGCAGAATGCAAGTAGTCCAGGTTCAGGTGTAGTGTCTTATAGGGATATAACAGTAGGTAAAGCTATAAAGGTTGATTGGGGTGTCATTCCTACAATTAAGCTATGAATTTTACACATGATTTTGTAAGCACGAGAAAGGCACTTCTCAAGTGATCCTATTCCTTGAAACTCCTTCCCTCCTTTTTTTTTTTTTAACACTGAGAATCAAACTCAGGACCTTGTGCTTGCCAGGAAGGCACTTGTGCTGCTGAGCTATATCCCTACCCCTTGAACTCTTTCCTTTCTATCACATTGCATTGTACTGGTTTTGTCCTGGATTATCTGTCTTACTCATGAGGCCAAGGAGACCTTGGTGGGGATGGCACGTGGAAGACCCCGTACTCAGACATGCAGTCCTGGTATCTTGGTGATATTGTCCTCAGGCTAGCAGGAGGCAGTGTTGTCAAAGGGAGAGTTCAGACTTGAGACAGCAGAGAAAAACAGCAGAAATTGGAAAAACAAACAAGCACTTGATTTCTAGGCCATAAATAACAAGGCAAGCAGTACGGATGGAGGAAATGCAATGTCATAACTTTGTCAAGAAGGATATTTTAGGTCTGAGCCCATAACTATACAAGGGTTGCAAGGGTAGTGTTTTTTTTTTTTAATGTGGTGTTAGCTGGCTAACATAGGAATAAGTAACTGTGTTACCTGTTCATTACTGTAACAGAGTACCTGGTACAATCAAGTTATGAGGAGGAAAGATTTATTTTGGCTCACAATTTTGGAGGTTTCAGTCAATTGTTGGTTGGCCCTCTTGCTTTTAGGCTGATGATGAGGAGACAGATGGTGAGAAATCTGCCAGAGGAAAACCATTCACCTTATATGGGAGTGGGGAGAAAGGGACCAGACCAGGACTCCACAGTGTGTTCAGGGGCATGCCCTCAACGACAGGAGCATTTCCTGCTGGACCTCACCTCTTGAAGTTTCCACCATCAGCCAGTAGTGCCAAGCTAAGGACTAGGCCCTTAACACAGGGGACCTTGGGACCTGTTCCTGATGCAACCTATCATAGCAGCTGTGCTACAAATGGGTGAACTTGGACTCCCAGGGTTATGCTGGGCCTCTTTAATTTGTTCTTTTTCCTCCTCCATCCACTGAATAGAAATGGTCCTCAAGTTTCTGTCTTTAGTGCTCTTCCCCTCACTGGCTCTTCATGAAGATTGTCAATTCATACCCTTGATTTCAGTTTTAATTTTGGATCACTCATATGCCTGCAGTTTTAATTCTGACATCTTCTTGCATTTTTGCCTCTTAATTCCAGCTGCCTGCTAATTATTTCCATCTTGATGTCCCATAAATTAGGCCAATGTCGTACAGCTTCATGCGGCCCCATTCACATAGAATGAAATGAACCATACAGCGGTGCAAGATCCAACAGGTCCAAAGAGGAGCTGAGAATCACTGGAATATTCACACCATTACTTTGTTTTTTTCTTTCTGTATTTAGTGCAGGGGCTACAGAATCTACAGGGTCTCACTTCAAATTGGAATCATAATGATTCTCCTGTTTTCAGCTTCCCAAGGGGTGGGATTATAGGCGTGCACCACCACGCCCAGTCTCAGTCTCCATCTCAGCATGCCGGACGGTTGGGACTGGCACAGAACACCAGGGATTAAACTCCAGTCACTGCTTCTGCCTAAGCAAAGGCTTTAATCCATTGAGCTATCTGGCCGGCCCTCACCCCATTTCTTTTCTCTACCAGTGATCTAATTTCTGGTGATGGTGTATTAAGGATCAGATTTCAGTTTGTTCTAGTTTAATCAGCTACTTAAAAATCTCTGTCCTTAGTTTTTCACATTAATAGTCAAATTGCATACCATTTAACATGTTTTATTTCAAAAGGTCATTAGATTTTGAATCACTTTAAGATATCAAAAGAAATTAGAAAAATTTTAAAAAGCAAAATTTCATTTCATATTATATAAGGCAAAGAGAATTTGAAAGAGTAATTCATGTTATTTTCGATCTGATACATTTTAATTGCTTACAACTGTTAAGTATATGTTTGATAGTAAATTGATCTGTTAGCTAATCTAAAAGAGAAATATTGATTCACTAGTTCATAGTCTGTCTACTTTGCTTCAAGGAAATCTATGATAAGGAAACCATAATGGATAGCAAATAGCAAATCATGCATGCAGCATCTGTTGTTTTCATACAGATTTGATCATGGTGAAGAATCAGTTTGAATTTTAAAATGATATTTAAAAATCGTTTTATGACTGAAGAACATTAAAATAGATATTATTGACTCTCTCATATATGTAATTCACAACTTCAGAACATTGGAAATAATATTTAATAATGGATTTCAGTTCTTTTTTCTAATCTAGTGGATTTGTGATTGCTGGTAAATTAAGAGTTCTGAGAGTCCTAGAATTTTACATATGTCTTTGCCTTTAAATATATGTATTCAAAGTATCAAGGAATAAGCTGTAGTCAGTCAAATATGAGTACTGTAGAGAACTGAACCAAAATCTTGGTTCATTACTCATGGTTATAGTATCCTTTTCAATTTTTTTTTTTTTTTTTTTTTTTTTAGGAACCGGGGATTGAACTCAGGCCCTTGCACTTGCCAGGCAAGTGCTTATTTTACTGAGCTGTCTCCCTGGCCCCCATCCTTTTCAATTTTGGAAGAAAACTTAAAAGTTGGTCACCATAATGCCTACATTTTTTGCTCCTATTTTGTAATTTGAAGTCACTTAAATAGTAATGACATCAATATACAAAAAATTGTTAATTTTTAAGTTAGCGTCCAAATTGGAAAAAGAAATAAAATTCTGGGATTCTCTAAAGGCACATATAATAAAGTTTATATATTAATTTATAGGAAGCGGATAAAGTTATTGTGAGCTTTCTGTCAACTGTTTGTCTTACCATGCAATGTGTATTTATAATTGTAAGTTTGTTATTCAACTGGATAATAAATAAAAATAATTCTTTGAACAAGTATTTATTTTTGTCAAATATACGTTGAATCACTTAAATTTATATTAGCAATTTATTAATTTGAAAACACCATCATATCTTTATACTTCTTAAGAAATTTCTGACTATGAGGTGTATACTGGAAACTTGTAACCACTTCCCAGCATTCTTGGTAAAGCCTCAGTTTGGTGTTCCTGACCTGACATCTAAGCTAAGTTGGCTGCAGTAGGTTATAGGAGAAATGACATTGTGAGAGCATGTTGTTAAAACAAATTTTATTTTCTACATATGAAGAGTCCTGCTGGGGAGATGGCTCAGTGGAAGAAGCGCTTCCCTGGCAAGTGCAAGGGCCTAAGTTTAATCCCCGGTTCCGCAAAAAAAAAAAAAAAAAAAAAAAAAAAAGAGTCCTTAGTATAATCCTTTCCTAATCAGAGATACCCAATAGCTTCTGGATGAGCTTATCGTCCTCCCAAGGGGACTAACTTTTGCTTCTAGTGGGTAGTATAGGTACTGTGGTACAGGAAGATCTTAGTCCAGTTAGGGATGGAGTCAATGAGTAGCTGTGCTTCGGTCTCTGGGAGGATGGTCTATTTCTAATCACTTCTGTTCTCAGAGTGTGGCATTTTAGGGTTTTCCACTGAAAACCAGGAGTGTCTGACCAGGACTGCTGCTTCCTCCAGGCCCTGGCAGACTCTTAGTTTTGTTCTCGCTTTCATTCTGATTGCCTTCCTCCTCTAGCCCTGTAAAATTACTAAAATTATTGCGGTTTCTCATCTGCTGCTTTCAGCGAAGATTTCAGCCTCCAAAGACATTGCTCGCTAATTAGCAAGTGCTTCAAGGAGCAAAGAAGTGCCACATATAATCTCCCAGCTTCCAGATGAGTGGCCCTTCGGGCTCCTGCTGCGCGGAGAGCTCTCCAATGACTCAAAATTGATTTTAAAATATTTTCCGCCATTTTTAAAGTCATTTTTGATGAGAGACTTGGTCAGCAGCTAGCTAATCTTTATTTAAAGCAGAAACTTGACTTAGAGTAAATCATTTAATTTCTTTGAGCCTCTGTTGTTTTCATCTGCAAAATAATGGTCCTAGTAATACATTAGTTATTACTGGGAAGATAAAAAACTCAAATAGGACACATTTTTTCCATCTTTTTATGTCTTTATACAGAAAGATAGATAGTTGATGTGGCTCCAGGTACATTATTTTTATTTTTTATTTTTTGGTGGGTAGATGTGGCATATGAAAGTGATTCTATCCAACAGTTTAAATCTAGTCCTGGAGGCCTGCCCCTTAGCTCAGTTCTTTAAGTGGCTGCTTCAACAAAGCAGTCAGGCTCAGGTTGTTGTGGTTCAATCCCCACAACTCAAGCCAGCCAAACCTGCCCTGAAGGCATTTGGAGCAAAAAAAAAAAATCCTTCTGCCATTTGGGGAACTACCCGCTGGGGCCCCCTTCCTGTCCCTCTCTCGGACAGGAGCTTTCTTTCCCTCAATAAATATATTCTTCTCATAAAAATTAATCAATCAATCAATCAATCAATCAGTCAATCTAGTCCCATTCAGGAACTGCAACTCAACCAGGCTGCACATGGGGAGAGCTATGGAATATTCACAACATTTCTAAGAAATTGTATCAAGGGATATGCCACGATTGTATAACTGTGGGTTAGCTGATGGATTGATGCCATATGCACTCAAGGAGTGAAATAAAATACTGTCTCCTCACAAACCATCAAAATGAACTGAACTAGGAGAATTCTTTTTGCCTTTCTGAATGAAATCTCAGCTCATACTCCCTTGGCTTTGTTGTTCATTTACAGACACTGAGAAGTCCCTAGTTTCTTTTGTTGCTTTTTCTCTTTCGCACCCCTCCCCACTCTTACCTAGTACTTAAAAAAATCAGTCTTATGTAAAAATTTAAGACATCCAGCTCTAAGGTTAAAGTTTTCTCCTCTTCTAGAATTGAGAAAGCAATTCATTAACTTTTTTGTTTCCTTGCTCCTCTGACTCCTTCAGAATTGGAGACGTGGTAGCAGGGGGGAGGTTAGAGAGTAGAAGAGTTCTTTTGGCTGGATACCATTGTGAGTTGGTGCTATCTGGGCTTCCTGTACTTGCTGCAATGCTGACTCTTCTCGTGGATGTTTTGGGAGGCCATCTGTAGGCTTTCTCAGGACCTCCTGATATGGGTAAGTGGGTCTCTCTGACTGGGTTGTTGAATAACCTTCCTCAGCCTCAGGAACCTAGTATTCCACTGTCTTGGGGGGGGGGGAGCAGAGTCATCTCACTTCTAGAAATTCCCTTGAACAGGGTCTAAGATCGTCTCCTAGCTGATACGTTTAGGCACTGGACGCATTCACATGGACATTGTTTATCTTGAAATTTCTGGCAGTTTAAAACCTCTCACTATTAAAACCATAGCATCAGTTTCTCTTTGCTCAACTACCACGAGCTGAACAGCAGCCTTGTGGCACCCTGGGTGAGAGGGACACGTACCAAGGTGCTTTCTTTGGACAAGAGATGGGCAGGGCTCACATCACGTTGACCGCAGTGCTCAAATGCCCTGTCAGAATTTTCTCTGGGCCTCTCCTGCCTTTTTCTAAGAACTGGAAATCACATACTGATTTCTACCCACCTGCTTTGCAAGTTGTGCTGTGGCTATCTTCTATTCCTCTTTACATGGTGAGAATACTTGGCCCTTATTGCCTTGGTAACTCAGTCAAAACTGAGAGGGAAAGGGTCTTATTTTTATATCCCATTACACATGCTTGAAAAAAATCATGAGAACGAGACTAGCCTACCCATAGAACATCAGTTCTTTAGAGAGCAAAGTTGTTTTGCCTCCCTACAGTATCTATTTATCTGTCTGTCTGTCTGTCTGTCTGTCTGTCTGTCTGTCTGTCTGTCTGTCTATCCATCCATCCATCCATCCATCCAGTAGCTTCTTGAGAACATTGATGATCACACAATTCTAAGCATGATCCATCAATGTTCTCGAGAAGCCGCAGGCTGGACAGGTAAAAGCCAGGGCCTGTTCCCACATGGCCTCACAGGCAGAAACACCAAGGAGCAGTGGGGTGCAGGAACCAAAGGCCTAGTTAGGAGTTCACCTGAAACACTTCCCAGGAGCTCCAGGCAAAAAGGCTGGAGAGGCCTGCGTCAGTTGAGTGTCCTGGAGCTACTGAATGTGCATGATCACCTTTAATGTGACCCATTAATTCCCAATTCCTAATTCCATGCCCAGTATGCACTGCCATCTTTTCCTTCAGATACCCGGGATCCTGTTTAATGATGTCCTAGCAAAGCCATTTTATATGGAAATCTTTGCTGGATGAAACTCATCCAGTACTGACCATCAAAATTGGGACAGGCCATGCCCAAGCGGGGAAAACTAGGACGCTGCTCCACGGGTATAGACGTTAAACCTCCTGCGCAGCTCAGTGTCACCAGGCGCCAGCTCGCTGCGTACTGGGTGCCGACAACAGCGACTATGCAAGTCACTGCGCTGGCTTATTAAAGCACACGTGTGTGTGGGGGGGAGGGAGATGGCTCAGTGGAATAAGCGCTTCCCTGGCAAGTGCAAGGGCCTGAGTTCAATCCCCGGTTCTGAAAAAAAAAAAAAGCACACAGAAGCAGGCCTGCGCAAATCCACCTCGGATCTTCCCCAAGACTCTTTTCACTTCCTCAGAGTTGGTGACACTATCTCTGCCCAGTCAGCCTCTCCAGGATGTAATCGGACTCCGTGGAGATCACGCAGAGGAGCTCTGTCCATCATCAGCGTAGTGCACCTGCATGGATTTATTACTAAAACTGAAGGGAGAGGGAGGAGGAGAGGTGCAGTGGCCTGGCGCCCCAGGAGACCTGCTGCAAGTGGCGGGGTCTGTTGGCCGCGGCGGGGATCTGTAGGGTTGCGACAAGATCGCGGGGACATGAAATGCTGCGACTTGCAGCTCTCCGCGATCTCTGAATCTCAGGCTCTGCACCTTCCTGGTTCTAGCGCCAACCTGGTGCTCGGGTCTACGTAGCATTTGCTGTCCTCAGACGCCCCAGCTAGCTTAGCTCCGGCCCCGCCCCGCCCCTCTCCGGCCCCGCCCCTCTCCGGCCCCGCCCCTCTCCGGCCCCGCCCCTCTCCGGCCCCGCCCCTCTCCGGCCCCGCCCCTCTCCGGCCCCGCCCCACTGTACGGCGCGAGCCCCGTCCCGCCCCGTGCAGGCTCCGCCCCGTGCCGGCCTCTCCCGGAAGCGCCGCGAAGCTTTCCCGCATGGAGCGCGAGCTCGGTGCCTCCGAAGCCGCCCCCGCCGCGGCCGCGCTCTTCGCTTGGGTACGTGATTCCGCCCCCGGGCTCGCGCAGAACCTGGGGGCGCAGGGACCCGTGAGCGTCAGACCTGGGCTTGGGCGGCTGAGCGCCGAGCCCGCCCGGGTTGGAGGCTCCTGGGCTTGCGCTGGGAGGAGCAGCCCCGGAGGGAAGGAAGGCCCTGACGGCGTGACTGAGGGGCCTGCTGAAGGCGGGGTCCTCCCTGGAGGGGCCGCGGCACTCGGCCGGAGCCTGACCCCCAGGCAGAGCGTCTGTTCAGCTGGAGCCCTTGGCTCGGAGAGCGCTGTGAAAAGACAGCACGGGGGCTCGCTGGAGAGGCGCGCCGGGTCCCAGAACTCGTGGTGCCACCTGTGTGCCCGCCGCCCGCGGCCTGGAGGATAGCAGCTTTCCCCTGGAGCGAGCCGGCTGGCTGGAGCAGCCTTCGGATGGGGCCTGCGGCGTGTGGCCATGCGGGGCGCAGACCCTGCAGATCTGTGGCCACTCTGCTGCGGCTGGATCTTGCTGGGGCCGTGGGAGTCTGGGCTGGTGTGGGTCTGACGTGAACGTAGAGAGACCGGGCTGACTTTATGTGTGTCTGGGAGAGAGGAGGCTTTGTGCACAGGAGCACGCAGATGTTGGATCTTGTGGTTCTTTGGCATAGGTATCACAGGTGTGTAACTTCCTAGTGTCAGTCTCTGGCTACAGCATGAGCGTCGTAAGGGTAGATGCTGAGCCCGTCTTGTTCACAGCGCCTGGCTTCGTGCAGGCCTCCAGGAAATACTTCCTGACTGAAGAATGAATGAATACCAGTGTGGCCCCTCCTGTGTTAAGTGTTTGGGAAAGACACAAGAATGAAAACTCTTGTGTTCAGGGACGATAAAACACCTGCATTGCTGTTACAATCAGCATTTATTAACTTTTTTGAAAAATGAATTATGAATACATACCATGAGCAGTACTTGTTGAATGTAAGGCTGCAGTTTAGTCTGGCGGGTTGGGCCCTTTGATGTGGCACTTGAGCTGGGGACAGAGTTGGGGATGGAAACTGGTGTCTCTGGCTTTTTCTAACCAGCAGACTCGCATCTGTGTGGACAGTCACTTGACAGAAAAGACCTTTCAGATATTACCTTGAAGGTTCTGGAACAGAAGTATTGTTGAGTCTGGCCCTGCTGCTTTGTTGGGAGTCCGGTGTGTTCTTTCTGCTGTGTGATCTGTGTATTAGTCTGCTTATGCACCCAAGACAAAGCACTGCAGACTGCTGGGGTTAAACAACAGAAAGTTCTTTTCTCTTGGCTCTGGAGGCTAGAAGTCAAAGAGCATGGTGCCAGTAATTTTGGTTTCTTCTGAGACCTTATGTGGGCTTTTTCTTTGTGGGTGAACATCCCTAGTGAAGGAAGGGAGGCAAATACAGTTGTAATAACGTATTAATTTTTTATCTTGCTTTAACCCAGCTTTAGGGCCTCTTTTTATTAGAAAATGAACCCCAGAGTGCTCAGGGCTCACTTTCCTCTCAGATGTTCAGCAGCCAGCAAGTCTGGTAATGGGACAGCTACAGAGATACTGGAGCTGACAGAGAAATCTGTGTGCATACATTCCACACAACAGTCCCCCACTGGATGTTTCCTAGTGGGAGCTCACAGGGTCTCATAGTCACTTACTGTATAGATAAGATAGGTATCTTTTCTGGACCAGCACAAGGTTGAGTGCAGGAGAAATAGTAAAACAAAGTTCTTGCCCTCATGGGAGCTGATTTTCTAGTTGGGCAGGTAGACAGTAAGCAGAGAGCACAGGTACACTCAGTAATGTCAAAGAGTGCTATGAAGAGCCATAAAGCAGAAGAGGGTGATGGGATTTATTTTAGATAGGGACATACAGATGGCCTCCTGCCAAATGAGCTCTGGACTGGGTCACCATTTAATTATTCTTTTTTTTTTCCTTTTTTTGTAGACACAGCAAGTCTAGTGAAAGGAGGAAGGCATCTGACTTGTCTACTGAGCTGTTTAACTATGGAAAGTTACTTAACTTTTCTAAGCTTTCCTCCATCTGTAAAATAAGAGCCATATTGCCAGATCAAGGCACCCAGAGTGGTTATTGGAACTTATATTGGCCCTTGGAACTGTGTTCTGCTGAGGAATATGCTTCTGTTTGGTATTTTCTCTTCTAGGACCGTTGTGAAACAGTAGGAAGGAAGGATTTTGTGTATTAAGTGTGTATGTTTTGCATACATTGTTTGTAGTTATTTTAAATCACTTCCTGATTCAGCTGTCTTCAAAAGAAAACCTACTTCAAAGGTTTTAGCACTTATCCTCAGGAAAGATCAGCTTGGAGTAAACACTTGAAAAAATCATGAGAATTTCTGAATTCTTAAGAAGATTCTCCCGGCAAGCCACAGTCTCTTATCTTTAATCTCTAAATACAAAAAGCTCTAACCCCAGCCCCAACTTACTGGATATAGGGCTATTTATATTCTCAGTCCATTGTTGTGTATCTTTTATTGCAGAAATACTACTGTTTTGCTTCTGGGATCTGTAAGGTTTGAGAGAAAAGTAAAGAAATCCTTTATCGCTCATCATGTGAGGGCTGCTGAAGAGAAGCAAGGTCCCTTGGGGAGGAGGCAGGCAGATAAAGAATATAAAGGGCTTCTTTGGGGATGGAGTTAGTATGGGCTCTGAGGTGTCCTAACAGCTGCTGGTTGGGGAAGGCTTGTGAAAGGGAAAGTTCGAGGTTGACCCGGGGAAGAAGAGAGCTCAGTCTAGGAGCCGCTCGTTGTTGGTCTTGGATCTCCATGCTGTGCTAGCTGCCAATGTGATGATCCAGCAGATCTTTGCATGAGTGCAGACCCATTAGGGTCATGTCTGCAGGACTTGCAGCAGTATGTGTCATCTATAGTATATTGATGATATATGCTTAACTACTTTCCTAAAATCTGTACAATTCTAATTCTTGACTCTATCAAGCTTCAGGAGGTTCTGATTAGGAATTGTGGACAGTAGACATGTTGCCTACCAAGGGGCAATGTGTTCTCTTATAGGAATCTCACCATGTGAATCTTGAATTCATCAACTACTGTACTTGGAAAGGCCCGTAGAGATCACTGCCAGCCTCTTTCAATGTACAAATGAAATAATGGTGCACTTTGCTTGAGGGCACAAAATCTTTAACTAAATTTGATGACAGAAAGTCGTTGCCAGTTTTCTCAGTGTGGGAAGAAGGTACAAGAAATAGCTCTAAAGTATTGCCTTCCTACTTTGTTTCTATTCCTTCCCATTTTTCTTCCCCTTGCCTCTGAGGGTAGTTGACTTTTTAAAAAATATTCATGACAGTGTCATACTATTTTACTTATTAGAGCTTTATAATGGTGCTAGAGATTGAACATAGGGCTTGTGTATATGCTAGGCAAGTGCTTTACCGCGGAGCTACCCCCACCCCCCAGCCTGGGTAACTAGCTTTTATCAGAAGGAAACCCTGTGCTGTCTCTCAAAGGCAGTATGTGGGAATGGGAGCATTGAAGGGACAGGTGAGAAATATTGCTGGATATATTTTAGATCTAAAAGATTCCTCTTAAATGAAAATTATGGTGTTCTGAGGATGACCTGACATAAAAATGTGGGTTGCATGTAACAGCTTCTGAAGAATAGACTGAGAGGTATGTTAGGGAGACTGGGACAAGTAAGGAGACATTGAGATTTCTCTCTCTCTCTCTCTCTCTCTCTCTCTCTCTCTCTCTCTCTCATTCATTTTTGCCATATTTTATCCCTAGGGTGCAAATAGTTATGGGCAACTTGGCCTTGGCCATAAGCAAGATGTGCTTTTGCCCCAGCAACTGACTGACTTCTGCAAACCTGAGTGTGTCAGGAAAATCACAGGAGGAGGGGGACATTCTACAATTGTCATAGGTAATTTCCTTCAAAAATTGCCACTTATTTTCTTATTTTGATATTTTCCCCTAGGACGTTATAATATCTTTCAGCCTTGCATATTTTGCAAAAAACAAAACAAAAAAAAAACAAAAACCCAAACAAACAAATAAACTAACAAAAAGCAAGCCTTTTGGAAAGCCAGATTGCCATTAGAGAAGTTTAGCTTTTAAGAGTTAGAAAGACTTCAGAGATCTAGGCCACTTTACAAGTCCCACATTATTCAAAAGAAGCTTAGAGAGGAACATTGATTACTTAAGGTCACAAGGCAGATTAGTGGCAGAGTTAGAACATGTATCATATTCATACTGTATGCTGCTATTTACCTTTCACATCTGAGCTAAAAGTCTTTGCAATTAGATCAAATAGTCGTTGGGACTGAACGTTGCAGTTTCTTTAGTCTTCCCTTCTGGAACCTAGAATAATACACAAGTACTGTGAGTGTCATAGTATTGCAGAGGAGGAGGACATACTGCATCTGGTTAAGAGCCTGAGCCTGGGAATCACACTGCCTGGGTTCAAATCCTAGTTCAGTAATATGTCACTATGTGGTCTTAGGTAGGTAATCTTTTTGTGCCAATCTGTTCCTCAGCTGTTTATGGGGATAATAGTGGCTGGTGAGGAGGATCAGTGGGTTCATAGGGCTGCATTATAACTTTCATGCGTCCTTGGCACTTTTCACAGACCCTTTCCTCTGCAAGGAAATATTAAAATTATTTTATAACCGTGTCACTGTGAAGATGAATATAACCCCAGGCTTTAGTATTTTATATACATTATTACTATATTGCTTTTTTTTCTCATTTTAAAAGAATTTAAAATGAAGTAATTTTTGGGCTAGAGAGATAGGTTGGTGGTCTAAGTGCCTGCCAGGCAAGTACAAGGACCTGGTTCAATCCCTGGTATCACATACTGCACTGGCCCTGAAACCCCAGGCATACCTTGCTGGCCACTGAAACCAGGCGTGATGGCACATAACTGTAAATCCTAGCTCGGAGGAGGCTGAGGCAGGAGAATCACTAAGAGCCCAAGCTATGTAGCAAGACCTTGTACCAAATAAATTAAAAAAAAAAAAAATGAAGTCATTTTCATAGGCCTCTAAAAGTCTTGTTGGCCATAGACACTGTACCTTAAGGATGAGTATTTGGCCTTATACATAAAGCTCTTAGTATCTGGCACATTTCAGTGTTGAATAAGTATCGACTTTTTTGTTATAGTAGGTGTTCCATTTGGTAATCGTTTGGCCCACACTCCAAGGTTTAGAGTTTCTATTTAGATATTAGATTCCTGGCCCTTGACCTTATGTCATTTGGCTCCAGAATGCATTAACATGTAAAGATTATTAACATTAACTTGGGTGATGAAAAGTTAATCATCTGTGACTTCAAATAATTAACGAAGACCCTTTGGCCACTTTGGCAATTGTGATTTCTCCTGTGTGCTTATCATCAGAACCTTTGTATTTTGCAGATGGAGGAGGCCTTTTTGTTTGTGGCTTGAACAAAGATGGACAGTTGGGGCTTGGTCATACAGAAGATGTTCTGTGTTTTACTTTCTGCAAATCCCTTGGTGGCTGTCCCATCCAGCAGGTGGCCTGTGGCTGGGATTTCACCATTATGCTCACAGGCAAGTTCACTCCAGGGTAAATGTTTGTCATTCCAAAGGCTTTGGGTGAGAGCGACACAGTGTGGTGATTCCTGAGGAAAGGAAAGCTTCTTTGTGTTTAAAGCACACAGACAAATGTTTTCTCTGGTTAAGGAAAGTTGCAAGATGCTTTTTAGAGAGAGTTTCAGCAGCAAAGGTGATCAGAATCAGACTGAAAAACTTTTGCTAGAGAGTAGGGAAAGGACTAGATCATCTTGGGTGGCCACTTTGCATCCTCAGAATTCAGGGTAGATGTGTGCTAGGCTAGCTGGCCAGTGCTACTAGTTCAGGCCATCAAGGGGGAATGTGGTGGGAAAGTATGAAAAGTGTGGGTTTCCACACAGTAAGGAGGGAATTTAAAAAAAAAAAAAATTGTTTAGTATTGAGGATCAAGTGTGTGCTGGCAAGTGTCCTACCATCCAGCGTCACCCCCAGTTCCACATATCAGGGCAGGAAGCTTTGGATGGAACTAAGTTATCTTTTAACTAGACAGAACTTTTAATCTCTGTGAAGCCAGGCAGCAAACTAGGTTGAAAAGGGGTACAAGCAAAGGTTAATAGAACAGCACTGTGAGGAGAAGCTGGCAGTAGTTACTTTGTCAGGTAACTTTTCCTTTAAATCACTTTTACCCTGTTTAGTGTTGCCCTCTGTGGCTGTCCATATTGGATTTAAGGATCATTTGTAGTTTCTGATCTGCCTCCTTCTTTGTCACAGTCCTCTGGCACAAGCATTTTCTGATCATGTCCCCCTCTGCCCCAAGCCCTTATGGTGTTGCACATGCACAGCTTAAATTCTGAGCTTTTTAGCTGGTGACCTTTTAGGGTTGTTCACGTCTCTCTTTGCCTAGCTCTTATTCTTCATACTGCCTATACTTTGCTTTCTAGTAGCACCAAATAGTGCATACTTTCCTCTCTGGCCCAGCCTCTCTTGTCTAACACATAAGCTTTTATCCAGCGTTAGCAGTGTGTTCAGGTGTCATCATTTCTCTTGTGCAGATGGCTTCCATAATACGTGTTGAATTTAATAGTAATTTTTAGAATCTAAACAGTGCTGGGCTGGGTGTGGTGGTGCATACCTGTTATCCCAGCCCTCAGGATGCTGAGGCAGGAGGATACTTGGGTCTGAGGCCACCCTGAACTACAGAGTGAGGCTCTGTTCGGGGGAAAAAAAGGGGATAGGGAGGGGTAGAGTACTTGCCTAGCATGCGCAAAGTCCTGGGTCCCATCAATAGTAAGGCTAAGTTGGAGGACAAGGTTAATTCTGAGGCCAAGTGGTTCTAAAATTTCTCTGGTCCAGAGTTTCCCTCCAAGCTCTAGATAACTTCTTTTTCTTTCTTTTTTTTTGGTGGAGCCAGGGTCTAGACAACTTCTCCATGGGAAAGTATCAGCCCAGAATACCTGAGGGGAAGTTGTCCTGCGCATCCTTTGGCTGTGTGACCCTTTGTGGCCTAGAAAGCCCTGCCTATGGGGAAGAGGAAGGAGAAAGGCCTTGACTATTGCAGTAATGGAAATTCTGCCACATACAAACATGAAAAGTAGGGAAAAGCTGTCTTTTCATTCCAATACTCAGCACAGGACTAAATGTTCTTACAGATAACTTGCCGTTAATGGTATAGTGTGATAATTTATATAGAATATTTGGCCCAGTGCCCACTACTTTTGATTCCTAGAGAAATAACACAGGGAATATGGGCTAAGTGCACTGAAGGGCATGGTCTCTGATGCTTCCTCTCTTCCTCTTTGACCTCTTATCCTCTTGCATTTATCTATTAGTCACAGATGTGTCTTATTAGATTTGTAGATTTCTTATATTTTGCAGAAAGTGGTCAAGTTCTATCATGTGGATCCAACGCCTTCGGCCAGTTAGGTGTTCCTCCTGGGCCTCGAAGATGTTTGGTTCCCCAGGCCATTGAGGTGAGGACATCTAATATTTGACTTGCCTGTGTCCTGTTAAAGCATTTTCAGGCTATCATAGTTATCTTCACCTGTAGTAACAGCTGGCTTAATCCCTGAAAAACCCATGGGATAGTGGAGTTTGAGTTGGAAAAAATTAGTCTGGGGGATTGACATTATGAGTGGAAAAACATCTATTAGTTCTCATACATATGATAAGGCTTTGTAAACTAAAACAAAGATACCACGTTAGTGATAACTGCAGTGACCTTATAATAATGGCCTTGTAAGAACCTGCATATAAGTTATAATTAGTTTAGCTTAATTATAATTCATATAATTAAAGAGAGAATGGAACAATGGTTAAAATATACTGGATGATAGACTCAGTAAGTAAAAACATTTTGAAAGCTGTAGCCTATGAAACAATGGAAGGAATGTGCCAAAGTGAAATGGAATAGAAACTCATTTAGTTCATGGCAGCTGTTGTGTGCAGGCATGTTTAGGCAGCAGGGACACAGGTGAAGAAAGCCTGTCTTCCTTTTGGGAGTTTCATAGTTTAGTAGTACATGGTAGGTAAATATTTGAATGAAGTGTCATGCTAGAACTGATATATGCATGTGTAACTCAAAGTAGGGACAAATGAACTTGTGTCCAGGGGAAGGCTGGGTGAGAACTTAGGCCAAGTCTTAAAAGTTGAGTAGAAGTTTCCCTGCCTTGGGGTGAGAGGATGTGCAGAGTGGTTTTAAGAAGAGAAAAGGCAGAAGGAGTAGTGCTTAGAGTGTTGCTCACAAACCTTTGTTTACAAAAGTTCAAGAACATAAAATGGGTTTGAGATATTATAAGTTTAGTATAGTTGAAATACAAAGAAGAGGCAAGAGTGCCCAGGTGGGGCTGGTGGGGAGGCGAAATCAGGGTTGTTTTATGTGACACACGTTACCAGCGTGTTAGGGAGGGGCCAGTTAGGATTCTGTGGAGGGCGGCTTGAAGAAATACTACTTAGGAGACTTGCTGACAGAGCGGCCAGGAAATGATTTGGGTTCAAAGAAAAGCAATGGCAGTGGATACAGAGAGGAAAAGATAGAGATGGGTGGTATTCAAAGAGACTTGAGTCACACGTTAAGCCCTTCAGTTAGTTTTTAAAAAGAGAAAGGAAGGATGAAAGAAAGGAAGGAGAGAAGATAGTACCACTGGTACCGTGTCCGAAGAAAGCAGACCGGAGCCCTGTTCTTTGTGCTGGTCAGACTGCGTCTGGAGTGTTCTGTTCAGTTGTAGATATGGTGCTTGGGTCCTGGGCATAAAAATAAAAAAGACTCAGGCCTTTCTCTTGGGGGTCTTAAAGTTTAGAAAGGCCTGTGGACCTGTGAGTAAGCAAATGTCTAAAGCCCCATAGGGGCAGTGACTGATAAATAGTTCCTTAAAGGAGAGAGATCAAGCAACCAGCATGTTTAGAGGAAAGAAACCAGGAGGGAGGGAGATTTGAAATTTAGGAATGGGTGATTGAACTGAGAATATTTGGCCTAAAGAAAATATCTATATTCATTATCTATTGCTCTGTAACAAATTACCTCCAAAAGTAGCAGTAGACAACAAACATTGTTTCTGTAGGGCAGGAAGCAAGAAATACTTGAAGTGGTCTTTCAGGAGACTGCAGCTGGGTCTGCCTGTGAATATATGGGCACAGTGGACCCACTTCCAGGTTTTCTCAACGTGGCTCTTGTCAGGAGGCCTCAATTCCTTGTCACGTGGGACTCTCTGAGGGCCTGTTCCAACATAGCTCTGGCTTCCCTCAGGAGTGATTTAAGGCAGGGAAATGCCAACTGGGGAGCTTAGTGCATTTTATCACCTCGTCTCTGAGTCACTCATTGCGTCCTTGTTCTTTTCATTAAAAGTATGTCACTAAGTCCAGCCCACACAGAGGAGCAGAGCTAAGCTGCACATCTCAGAGGGAGTAGTATCAAAGAATTCAAGGACCTATTTTTAAAACCACCACAAGATGTCTTAAAGAGGACATGACAACTGTCTTCAAATATTTGGAAAGTGTTGTCAGAAGCTGCAGGCAGATGGGTTTGGCTCCACCTAAAGGGATAAATGGGATTGTTCAGAGGTGGAACAGGCACTTGGGGAGGTGATGAGCCTGCATCCCTAGAGGGCCAAGTGGTAGGGGTGTCCTGGCACCTGGTGGCATTGGTGAGGAGGGCCTGGCATTAGATAGGGATTGGACTAGATCAGCATTGGGAAAACTGGAGCTGCCAGTAGTAAGGTTTTATTGGAACACAGCCTGCCTTACTCATTTTTGTGTATTTTACAGCTGTTTCTGTGCTATAATGTCAGAGCCGAGTTGTGTAATAGGAGCCATATAGCCTGTTAAATCTGAAGCATTTACTATCTGGCCATTTTTTAAGAAAGCATTTAATAACCCTGTGCTGGATGACCTTGAAGATCCCTCTCAGCCATGAGGGGCATTGTAAAATGGTATTTTTAAAAGACTTTTTTTCTTTCTAGGGAAATAAACTTCATCCTTGAAATGTATTTATGGTTAGAAATGTTAGGGGCAGGGCTTTATGTATTTAATAATCACTTATTACTTTTTTTAGTACTGGATTTGAACTGAGGAAGCACTGAGCTACATCCCCACCTCTTTCTGCTTTTTTATTTTGAGATGTAGTCTCACTGAATTGCTGAGGCTTGGGCTTAAATTTAGGATCCTCCTGCTTCAGTGTCCTGTGTACCTGGGATTATAGATGTGCATAGCCGTGCTCTCTGACTTCTAATTCATTAATTTCATGAATTACATGAAATTTTCTAGACTGAGGATACTGAAATCTATTTTTTTTTGACAGCTCCTGAGAGAGAAGGTTGTTTGTGTTGCTGCTGGACTGAGGCATGCACTAGCTGCTACAGGTGATCATTTTGTCTTTATTTCCTAAACAGGCATACAGTAAGGAGGAACTGAGTTTTATGAGAAAAATCTTTCAAGGAGTCTTTAAAAAGGTCCTTGCTATGGTACAGTTCTGATTAAAAGGGAGCATAAGGCAGAGCTTATGTGGGAAAGCCTTAAGCAGAAAGAAGGGAGGAAATAAGGGGTTCTAGCTCTTTTTGTTCTGGGCATCACGCTAGATTGTCTTGATTTGATTCATTTACTCACAAGGAGGAAGTGATGTGAGTTAAATTGTTCTGTGTGAAGAGATTGAAGTTCAGAGAAGTTAAAGCTCTTGTGCATGTTACATGTGGCATTCATGGGTGAGATCAGAGTCTGGGATGCTCTGGATATTGGGGCCTGCCTTCTTTGTGGTGAACCGCATTGCCTTCCTAATAAGTATTAGTGATTATTAATTTAAAGCTTTATATAAACTTGTTTTCTGTTCCAAATGTAACCTTTTGGGGTTGTCTTTTTCTTTTTTTCAGTCAATATAATTCCCTGTAGATTCATCCAAGTTTTGCATTCCTATAATTTGTTCCTGTTTTTGTTAAGGAGTATTCCGTAGTATGGCTGTATCACTGTGCATGTCTGGAAGGGCTGCCATAACAAAATATCATGGACTGGGTGGCTGAAACAACAGAAATTAATTTGCTCACTGTTCTGGAGGCGCAAAGCCCAAGATCAGTATACTGATAGGATTGGTTTCTAGTGAGCCCTTTTTCCTGGCTTCTTCTGTCCTTATGCACTTGTGGAGTGAGAGAAATGCCTGGGCTCTTCCTCTTCTTGTAAGGACACAAGTCCTATTGGATTAAGGCTCCACCATGTGACATCATTTAACCTTTATTACCTCCTTAATCCTAACTACTTGAGAAGCTGAGGCAAAAGGATCTGAATTTTAAGGCCAGTTTAGGGAACTACTGAGGACCACCCCCCAAAAAGGCTGGGTATGTAACACGGCATCCCCTGGATTCAGCCCCTACTACCACATACACACAAAAAGCTGCTACAAACATTTGTGGGCACATGTTTTTTTTTTTTTTTTTTTTTTTGGCAGAACCAGGGATTGAACTCAGGCCCTTGCACTTACTAGGGAAGCACTTATTCCACTGAGCCATCTCCCCGGCCCCCACATGTTTATATCAACATAGGTTTTCATTTTTTTGAGATAGATGCCTAGTAATGTGATTATTTATATGGTAATGATTATTGTTTTTAAAAAATGTATTTAGTACAGGGGCTACTGGGCCTACAGGATTTCACTATGTAGATGGTATTCATAGTGATTCTCCTGTTTTCAGTTTCCCAGGTGCTGAGATTACAGGCGCATCACCACGCCCAGTCTCAATTACTGTCTCAGTGCTCCCCAGAGGTGGGGCTGGCACAGCATGCTGGGGATCCCTGCGCTTTACCTAAGCAGGCCCTTTAGTCCACTGAGCTATCTGGCTGGCCCTGATTACATTTTTTTATGTAAACAAGTTCCTGTCTTAGAAATCAGTAAGGCAGGGGCTGGTGAGATGGCTCAGTGGTCTAAAGCACCTACTTAGAACAAGCTTAGCAAAGCACAGGGACCGCGGTTCAATCCCCCAGCACCACATG